AAGGAAAACTGGTAGTGGATGAGCTGAACCCTTGGTGGCAGGTGACAGGTCCAGGAGGAGCACACACCACCCAGGCCGTGAGGACTGTGGTCCACGCCGTAGCCAGACAGTGTCATGGTGACAACCCCAGCCGTGGGAGATCCCTGCTTGCAGCCAGGCTGAGAGGAGAAGCTGTTCCTCGCCCGTACGTCCGTTTTCCCAAACCTCCTCTGGGGGGGCCGAATTCTTGTGGTTTCATCAAGCAAAGATTAATTTCTCCTGTCCCTCCTGCCCTCCCTCCCTCAGTAACTCGTGTGCATTTCCCTCCTTTCTGTAGATGCAGATGTTCTAGGCAATACCACAGACGCGCCCGTGGCCCCGCCCGCGAGCGCACTCATGTCATCTTAAAAAATACAAAAAAAAAATATACAAAAAATATACAAAAAATATCTTTTTTAGGCCAGAGTTTTCTACAGGTATTAATGAATATTTTTCTTAATCCTTATAAGTTTTATGTGTTTAATATTTCTTAATACCGGTAGCATTAATTTATACTTTTGTAGCAACACAATATTTTTATAAACCGCCACCGCTGGCTTTGTCTTCATAACGGGAAACGTGCGGGCAGCTGGCCCCGCGCTGTACCATGTACTGTATTTAAAAGGTTATCTAATGTCACACTTGCTGTGTTAATAAACAAAACAAAACCTGTTTGAAGTCTCATGTATTGTTGGTGTGGATCAAATGACTCACTAGAGAGCAATATTGCACGGGGTTGAGTTGCTGATTTTCATTGTGATATGCGAACGCTTGAGGCCAACTCAAGCTCTGAGGTTGTTTTTTGTTTTTTTTCTTTTTAGGATTTTGTTTTGGTTTTGGTTTGGTTTTTTTTTTTTTGTTTTTTTTTTACAGCTAAATGAATTCAGTGCTGTTTGAAACTTAGACTGACGTCAAATGAAAAGGATTATTATAGAAAAAAAAATCAAGGTGTTTAAATGTTGCTGTTTTTACAAGTCTGTTGCTGTCTGAATGGAAATATTCCATGAGAGAGGAGGAATAGTTCCACTTAGCTTCCAAAGGGGCCGAGCGCTCCAGGCCAGAGCTCGGTTATTTGGAAATACCTTAGAGACATGTTTCTGCAACATTCTTTTCAGAGTTGATGCCAAGGCAGAAGACAAACTGTAACTGTAAGAAAGCATCCGTTGCTTGAGGATTTTCATGTCAGTGTTGTATTTATGGTTTTACAATAAAACAACCTTTAGGAAAAACAAAAGTGTCTGGGCTTTTCTATTTTTCAGGCACGTGCTTGGGACATTCCCCAGGGCTGATGTCCTGCTGTGAGCAGGGAGAACATGGAAGTGACCTGGATCCCAGCAGTGGTCTCTGGGGGATCTCACAGAATCCTGTAATGGTTTGGGTGGGAAGGGACCTGAAAGATCATTTCATTCCCCATCCTCCTGCCATGGGCAGGGACACCTTCCACCAGCCCAGGTTGCTCCAAGCCCCGTCCAACCTGGCCTGGGACACTTCCAGGGATCCAGGGGCAGCCACAGCTTCTCTGGGCAACCTGTGCCAGGGCCTGCCCACCCTCACAGGGAACAATTTCTCCCCAACAACCCCTCTAACCCTGCCTTGTGGCAGTGGGAAGCCAAATGAACTTGGCATCCAGAGAACTCCACACTGGGCACCACATGCCCGAGGCACCCAGAGCATTGCCCGGAGCGTCCCTTCAGTCCCCACGAGCTGCTCCTCCCTCCCTGAGGAGAGGTGGGTTTGTAGCAGGAAGGGCCCTGAACCCAGAGGGCAGCTGAGGGTGGTCTGGGGGCTGCAGTGGTTGTTGGTGTTCACGGCCCCATGCAGGGTCAGCTCAGCTGGGTTTCCTCTGCTGAAGCTGCTCCAGCTGGTGCTGGTCAGCCTGGGCTCGCAGGGCCAGAGGTTTTCACCGGCAGATCCACCTCAGGGCTTGATTTCACTCCAGGGGAACAGGGGCACTGGCCGGACACTGGCTGGGCAGAGCAGCCTCCCTCCTCCCTAGGACAGGGCCCTTGGCAACTGTTTGTTTGTAGTGGGAGCCAAAATGGGCACAGAAATCTGGGCTCAGGCCATGACTGGCTTAACCTGCACCAGGATGTCCCAGGGGGTCCCAGAGATGTGCTGATGAGTGGGACACTGCTGGTTCTGTGTGCAGGGACTCACTGATGCTCTCTGGAGCTCCAGGACCCACCTCCAAACAAACCGGAGACCACCAGGAATTGTCCCAAGTGGAACAAGTACATAGACCGGGATTCAAAGGAGGCAGCCAGGCCTTAACACTGGAAAATCCGTTGTCCATCACCCTTCATGTGTCCTTTCCTTTGACCTGTTTTGATGTTCTCTGGGGTTTTTTTAACCTTGCACCCACCACCCTGCAAAAAGCAAGCAAAAAAAACCCAAAACAAAACAAAACAACTTTGCTACAGAATTGGGAAATTTGCAGTGAATTTCTTAGTTGGGAAAAAACAAAACCCAAAGACATGGAGTGACGATGGGTCTGGCCATTGGATAAACTCTTGGTCAAGTGTGAAGATAAGCCAAAATAATAAATACAACTATCAGTTTATAATGTAAGAATGGCTGTGGCTTTGCAACAGGTTTACAAAGGCATTTTAGGAAACAGTCAGAAGAGGTGCCCTCAGGTCCTGCCAGACAGGGGTTGGGATTTGTTTGAAAATCTACATATGTGAAGTGGATAATGTAAAGCCAGGATGCCCAGCAGAATGGAGGATAGTTCTCCTTGGCACACCAGTGGCTCCTGGCACTCAATTATCCTTATTGCTAGAGACCTTTAAAAGGATAAAAACAATTGCTAATGGGACTGTAAGAGGCTTAAGCTAATCCTGCTGTGTTTCCCAATTCTCTGCTTTCTGCCCTGACAGGACACAACTGCTTTAGCTTTAGCAGTAAAGGAACTGCTACCTCCGAATTCAGGCTCTGCTGGAGGTATCCCCCAGTTTCCTTTCATCTCAGAGGGACTGATGGATCTTACAAAGCTGGCTGAACTCACCAGCTCCAATCTGAGCCTCAGCAATTTCCCTGCCTTGGAGTTTTGTTCATCCCGAGATCCCCTGTGTGGGGAACAGAGAGAGGAGCAGGGAACAGCAGCCCAGGTGTGGCAAGAGCTCTGTACCAGTGTGTGTTTGTGGCTGGGGGTGTGGGAGTGCCCCTGGGCCCCCATAAGTTTAGGTGAACCTCATGTCATGTAACACCTCAGTTCTTTTAGTTTGCTCTTGGTGCTTTTCCATCTCCCATCACTGCAGGGCAGCTGCTCCCTGAGGAATGGGGTGCTGGGAGCTGAGGGGGGTCTGTGGCAGCCCTGTAGGGGTGGGACAGGGTGGAGGTCCAGCTGGGAAGTCAGGCTGTGGTCAGGGCCCAGGCCAGCCAGGGGTCCAGCACCGCTCAGGGCAGGGCTGAAATGAACTCCTGGGCCTTGGGCAGGGAGAGGAGGAAGCACCCCAGGTGGGGCTGGTCAGGACCACCAAGACATAACAAATCTCTCAGGCCCCTGAGAGCTGTTAAACTGGACAAATCCTCCTTCTCCAAGCTCCTGCTCTCTTGGGAAGTTCCTTGCTGGAGATTCCCTGTGGCTCCTGAAGCAGGAGAGCACGGGCCAGCTGCAGGACCCCTTCTCCTGGCAAGAGCACCCCCAAAACGGTGAAGAACAACAAACTGTGAACATGAGGTCAGTTTTAAAAGACATTTAATAGCAAAGTATTGGCAGTGCAATGGGCAGATGTGGCTGGTGGTGGCACAGCTGGCACAGGGTACCCAGGGTGCTCCTGGGGTGGGCAGTGAGCTCTGCATGGACAGGGGGCTGCCCTGGCAAGGTCCTGCTCTGGAATAGTGCAGCAGGAGGAATCAGAAGCCCCAGCAAAGTACAGCATTCACAAGGACAGTGCCTGGGAATGGGAGCCACCAGCCTGGGAAAGCTCCTGGATTTGGGCATTTGCTCCTGCTGTCCCTTGGCACAGAGGAACTGCCAGAGCCCTGCTGGTGACCCAGGGCAGCTCTGCCAGGGGGGATTTCAGGCTTCCCCAGGGAAAGCAGCCAGGCAGAATTCAGCCCTTCAATACAGCACATGTAGCCCCAAGCACAGGAGGATCTAGGGCAGCTCTTATGAGGTTTGCAGCCCACAGAAGAGCTGGAACCCATCCCAGCCAAGGTGATGCTGCAGAAGCATCAGCAGGACTGGCTGGGAGAGGCCACTCTGGGCAATAAAAGGCCACATGGAAACAGAACTGTTCAAAATGATTGCAGCAGTCAGAGACAAGGACACTTCAAGGGCAGCTCTACCAATCTGAGGAGACTGGGGAGAGACTTCACAGGGTTTGCAGCTTCCTCACCAGGGGCAGTGGAGGGGCAGCGGAGGGGCAGCTCCAACCTCTGCTCTGTGTGAGCAGGGACAGCCCCCAGGGAATGGCTGGAGCTGTGTCAGGGCAGGCTCAGGGTGGATCTCAGGGAAAGGTTCTTCCCCCAGAGGGTGGTTGGCACTGAACAGGCTCCCCAGGGCAGTGGGCACAGCCCCAAGGCTGCCAGAGCTCCAGGAGGGTTTGGACAACGCTCTGAGGGACAGGGTGGGA